CCTGGTCCCGTGGAAGAACAGTTCCACCCTAGAGGCTCTGCTGACCAACCAGGATGGGGCTGGCGCTGAGGAAGGGCTCTGCCAGGGGATACCCTGGCCCCACCAGCCTTCAGCCACCCCACCGGGACCCAGAGAGCTCTCCTGCTGGGGGCCCCATCATGCTTACTGCACGCCTGTCCCCCCCCACTCCCGGTGCACCCAGGGCTGCCCCATGCCAGGGCTGTGCTGGCATCCCCAGGGGGCCCCACAGGGAGAGCCCCACATTGGCAGCATAGTGCAGCCTTGGCTGCCAAGTGTGAGAGTGTGTCAGGGACTCAGGACCCAGTTTGGGTTTGTCTGGGAGATAATGGGAGATAAGGAGGGATGCCTGGTGCTCCAGCCTTCACCCCCTAGGCAGCTGGTGGGGGAACATGTCTGGCCCCATGCTGCAGAGCTGTCTAACCAGGTGGCTGCTGCCCTGCCGACGGCTGCTCTGGTCAGGCTGGGGTCTGCCAGGCTGGGGTGTGGGGCCGAGCCCTGGGCTGCCTGCCCCGATGGGCAGCATTGTGCGGCCCTGCCCCCGGCTCCACTGACGTGGCTCAAGGTCACAGGCAAGGCCGGCACAGGGCTGAGATGCCAAGGGCTCGCTCTGCCTTCACTGCCTGTGCCGCCGCATTGGGGGGTTGCTGGGCTCTAGCAGAGATGCTGGTACCACGGTCCTGTGCGGTGAGAGTGGCCAGTGGGTCCTGGGCTGGGTCAGCAGGAGTGCAGGCATGAGCTGGTGGAGCAATTCTCCCCCTGTGATCTGCACACCACACTGCATTTGGGGCTCTCCAGTACAAGAAAGACAGGGTTGCTGGGGTTGCACTGGTGTCCATGGGTGCTCAGCCCACCCTGGGCAAGGACAGGCAGGGCATGCTCTGCCCACATGCCCAGCCACAGGCCCTGGGGAGGCTGTGCTGGAGTTGGAGTGTGGCGTGCACCTGGAACCCCTTAAGGAAAGGGCCAACCCTCTAGAATATATTTTCTAATATAGGTTTATGGGGAAAGGAGTTAGGGGGAATTATATTCTCTCTTGCAGTTGCCAGACTCTCAGTGCAGAAACTGGGCTGGTTCCATTAGCTATTTTCAGTGCAAGTCTTGGCTGCAGAGATGATAGGGAGTTAGGTCAGGCTCCATGGTCACCTGCGGACCCTGTGGCTCACAGAAGTCCTCTCCTGCCCTGGGTCTTCAGCCAGGATAAACCTCCTCAAGGCTTTTTCCAAGGGTCAAGGAGCACCCTGAAGGCCCTGGGAAGCTTGGTCTAGCTGACCCTGCTTGAACTGGGGACTAGCCGATCTCCACCCTCAGCAAGGCGGTGTGCAGGCTTCTGGAGTAGCTTCCAGCAATAACCAGCCATGGTTTCTGTTAAACAGCCATGGCTATAAGAAAATACAGAAAGCCCCAAGATGCCAAAACCTCCCCAAGACACACAAATTCCTTGTAAGGGGTCAGATACTGATGCTGTGAGGAAATTCCCACCTGATTTTACTGCCCTGATGAATACCTTCTGTTAAATTATGGGAACTACCTAGAAGGAAGCAGCTCTGCAAGCAGGAGCTGGTACCTGGCTGATCCTTATCACTGCACTTCCAGATGAAGGTTGGGTAAGTGATGCGTCAGCAGGCTTGTGTGTTGACCAAGAGCATGAGGAGCAGCAGCTCAGTAGCAGGAACCCACATGTCAGCATGTGTCAAGGCTTGGCAGGAATTATGTGGGCTGGCAAGCTGTAGGGCAGAAAAGGTCACAGGGTCGAAGCATTTCTGGAAAGGATGTTTGTTTTTTTTTTTTTTTTTTTGGTGTCCAGGGTAAATTGTGTATGGTATTTTCATCTCTTTGGAAATGAGATGAAGGGACAAAAGCAACGTGACAAGAGGAAAAATTCCCACATGCTTCAGGTTTGCTTAATGTAGTGTATGTTGGATCTGACTGTGAACTTCTACAATTAATTGATGGGGAGGTTTGGGTGCCTGCAGCAGGAAGCGGTGTATTGTGCTAGGTGAATCATTAATCTGCAGAATAAGGCTAACAAGTCACAGCACATAGGTCTGTATTACTCCCAGAGTGGCCAGAGTCAGGGCCAGCCCTCCAGCTCCACCTGGAGCACAGCAGCCCTGAGTGTCCTTCTTCTAACAGGGCTGCAGTCTGGCTGTCCTGGCCTGCAGCCATCTGCACCATGTTGACATTGTGGTGTGGCTCAGCAAAGGGGGAGTGAGTGCAGAACAAGCCTAAAAGTTTGAGGTTTCCCCCCTGGATCCCACACATCTCCCAAATAAGCCAGTTTTTCTGGTTTTGGTAAAGCAAGTAGCCAAATACAGTTGGCCTTGGGCCCTGGGGGATTTCTCCTTCATGCTAGAGCTGAGTCTGGTGCAACCAGACCCTGTGCTCCTCCTGGCTCAGACCAATGCAATGGCTATTGCAGTTCCCATCGTGTGTCGCAAGGCACAGACACACAGGCGCACAATTCCTACAGCAATTTCTACGGAGGGTGAGACTCAGGAACAGCCACACCATGCAGTCTCCACCAAAGAAGCTGCAGGTGTTTAGCAGCAGGATGAGGCCAGCTGTGACCAAGGGTGTTAAAGGGTGTCAGTAGTGTCAGAGCAGGGCAGCAACACAGAGAAGCAATTCCTGGAGTGAGTCTCAGGGCCTGGGAACAAGACAATGCTGTGACACAAGGGATTGTGTGAAGGAGACTGGGACTTTGGAGCTTCCCTGTCCCTGGATGTCAGGGATGGCAACTCTGCAGGAGCACCCACAGGGGGCCCATGGAAGGGGAGTGAACCTGGCCTAGAAAACCACTGAGTTAATCAGCAAATCCAGTTGCTCTTCCAGAAAACTGGTATCTGAGTATCCCTGAAAAAAGGGCAAGTGCTGGTCAGAAGCTGGCTTGGTTTTATTTTGGATACTCACAGCACCGCTGGGGCCGGGGAGCGGGGGGCTGGGCAGCCGCCCGGGGGTCCCCGTGTCTCGGGCAGCGGCTGCC